CGAGGGTGGAAAGATCATCTCGTCAGAAACAAAGGGAACCAATGACGCTGAAACTTTACATACTCGTACCCACCATTAGTTACCATAGGGGCACGGGGGGCCCAGTCGTCGAAGGCGCCGCGATTCGCTGTGCAGAGTTGCGTCCCTTGGGCACGCCAGAACCCTATGATTGTGGGTTCAAATCCCGATTCGCCCCTATTATTTTTCTAGGTTTGTAAGCACCATACCCGTCCTCGTGGGTTTCATTGAAGTGATAAACGTCGGAGGCCTGCATCACTTCGGGCTTTCCTCCCACATTAAGCTGACACGCCCCGATATAACTGGCCATGGAATACTGTTAAAAGCGGCGTTAAACCCCACTCACTCACTCACTCACTCACTCACTCACTCACTCACTCACTCACGCACGCACGCACGCACTCATTCACTCACCGACACTCACCCACACTCACTCACACTCACTCACTCACACACACGCAAACACACAATTTCATTAACGTACGTGAATATTCCACGTATTAGGTACTTTCTTAAATATGTCTCTGTGGCCCAGTGGTTTATGATGCGATTTTTAATAATGCATAACCAAGCCATTTCTCCATGTGTATATTTTATGCAGTTGTTGGATGAATAAAATATGATAGTTTAGTTTTTTTTGTATGTAGCACGGAAACATTCATTGAACATGAATTTTAACCCTCTCCTCGGCTAGGTATGCCTAGTTCAATATGAAATTTAATGTACATGCACTGAGGAAGTTGCATAGTCGTGTAGAAGTTGCCGTTTTGCACATTCTTGAAGTGAGTGAGTATGGTTTTACGCCGCTTTTAGCTATCTTCCAGCAATGTCACGGTTGAGGGCACCAGAAATGGGCTTCACACATTGTAGCCATGTGGGGAATCCAACCCGGGTCTTTGACGTGACGAGCGAACGCTTTAACCACTAGGCTAATCTGAAGAATGATAACATATTCCTGAAATATTCCCGTGACCTTCAGATTATTGTGGTATGCTGCGCTAGAACTATTAATGCCTCTCAATTTGAGATAACGAAATTACATCACTGTCCAATTCATCACATGACGTGCCTCTGGCTGTTAAATTCCAAATACCATTAGATTATGAGTAAGTTAGGGGGATTTGACGCCGCTTTTAACAGTATTCCAGTTATATCACGGCGTGAGAGCTTAATGTGGGAGGAAAGCCCGAAGTGATGCAGGTCTCAGACGTTTATCTGAGCACGGGTATGGTGCTGACAAACCTAGAAACATAATCGGGGCGAACCGGGATTCGAACCCACAATCATAGGTTCCTGGCTTACCCAAGGTACGCAGCTCTGCACAGCGAATCGCGGTGTCTTAGATTATGACAGGGTAGATGGGTGGTGTGCATACTGTTTTCATTCCATTTTAGCACTGGTGTTCTATATGGCGAAGGTCACTTGATAATGAAAAGGGCAACATATTTTATAGCAAAAAAAATCCTGCTTCCTGTGTTTGTTTAACTCACCTCCTAAAAGCCAAATTTGTCAAATGTACATTTAAGGGTTGTCCGAAAATAGCAGGTTCCAGTGCCTCGATTCAGGATGTATTGATGTCTTGTTTCTATGCGACGGGGACCCCGACTGCGACGATGGGAGTGACGAGAGGAATTGTAGTAAGTATTTTATATCTACTAGTGAGGAAGTAAATGATGCTTAATACCGCCGTCCAGCAGAATAGGATTTGTCCCCAGCAACCTATATAGCTGGAATATAGCTGGGTCACAACAAACTTTGATATTTACGAAATGTATTACCACTCATCCTTTGAATATTGTAGTCACCGCAACCGTGCATATTGTAACCTATTATTGAAAGATATAATTTTTTTAAATAAGCCTACCGACAATGACTGAAAAAAGTACTATTCTTTGAATATTAGCTTCCGCGATGATGCGGGTTTATTGTGATTTTGATACCCTCTGATTGATCAATCTGAATCGGGTAATTTCCAAATTCATCGTAGAATTACATTTATTTATTTATTTATTTTTTTTTTTTTCGAATTACATTTAATGCGGGGGGTATAGTCATCATCTGGTTTGTCTGACCGTCCGTATTTCGTTTCCGGAGCATAACTTGAAAACCGTGAAAGTCTTTCTACTAAACGTGGTGCATGTATCAACCAGAGCTGACGTGGTGTCTTCAAATTCTATTGATGATTTTTTTTCTAAATTTCAACTTCCCATGTTTCCATGGAAACAATGTACTTAGCAGAAAAGGTGGTGGGTGTCGTTTTCAGTGCAGAACTGAAAAAAAACAATCAAGATTTATCATCCAAACTTGGTACATGTATTACTCAGGGGGTGAAGTGGTGCCTTTGCTATTTAGGAATTTTGTTCCTAGTTTCCATGCAACAAGTTTGACTTTGACTCTGTTCATAGTGGTCTCTCTGTATGGACCATATCTCTAACACTAAAAGGCATCCTTCCATGAAACAATGTCCACACAAAGACCTTGGCCCACTTGCACAAAGCGATCTTAGCGCTAAGATCATCTTACCTCCCATACCTTAACATAGGCTTACAATAGTCGTAGCGGTAAGATCGCTTTTCGCAAGAGGTCCCAGGTTGTCAAATGGTGCCTTTTGCTATTTAAGAATTTTAAGGGATCAGGGGGATTTGTCGTCTTCAGATGACGCTTGTTTTTTTATGAATGCATATCTTGTACTTGTCGCCATACTGTGTCGATGAGACGTTAACAATTAACTCGCTCAATCCTAGAGTTTGAGTAAACTTCACGTTTCTGAACACATACATGTATGATTAATTGTTCAAGGCGGAGACTACACATTCAAGTGTCAGAATTCAACTATTCGTGCGGAGTTCGTGTGCGATGGCAAGGACGACTGCATTGACGGGAGTGATGAGAATGCCTGTGGTACGTTAAACAATATTAGTGTTGTTGTTGGTTTGTTGTTTTTATCGCCGCTCTCAGCAATATTCCATCTATATGACGGCGGTCTGTAAATAATCGAGTCTGGCCCAGACAATCCAGTGATTAATATCATGAGCATCGATCCACATAATTGGGGTTTGATGACATGCATCAACCAAGTCAGCGAGCCTGACCACCCGATCCCGTAGGTCGCCTTTTACGACAAGCATAGTCACCTTTTACGGTAAGCGTGGGTTGCTGAAGACCTATTCTACCCCGGAGTCTTCACGGTTCTATAGCGAGAATAATTTGAGGGAAGCCTCATCACCCTGTACACGACTTTTGGTTGTGATTTCACCTATTCCTTTGTTGCAAGTATTTAAATCGACCTCGCGAACGAAAGCAATTTGTATGTAAAATCCTTGGGTATCAAATACGACGCATCATGGACATCACCCGTACACTCCTTTGAAGACTTAAATATTTGGACCCGTGAGGATCCGGGGTAGAATAGGTCTTCAGCAACCCATGCTTGCCGTAAAAGGCGATTATGCTTTATCAAATATGTAAGTTTGTTTGTTTGTTATTTAACGCCGTACTCAGCAGTATTCCAGCTATTTGACGGCGGTCTGTAAATAATCGAGTCTGGACCAGACAATCTAGTGATTGACATCATGAGCATCGATCCTTGCAATATTGGGATCGATGACATGAATCAACCAAGTCAGCGAGCCTGACAAGCCGATCCCGTTAGTCGCTTCTTTCGACAAGCATAGTCGCCTTTTACGGCAAGCATGGGTTGCTATTCTACCCCGGATCTTCACGGGTCTCGAATCATAATTATAGTAACTCAGATTGTGAACAGTCGTGACGTGACAAGCAAAGACATCTCAACAAAATCTTTTCCTTTCAGTTTGGTTGTACAAGACTGATCATGCTTGTCATATCAATCACTGGATTGTCTGGTTCAGACTCGATTATTTACAGACCGCCGTCATATAGCTGGAATACTGCTGTGTGCGGCGTTAAACAACAAAGAAACAACACGTTGTCACGAACAACACTGATTTTGAGACATATAACTCATAATATTTGAAGTTATGAAGTACTTTAAAATCACTTTTCGAATCAACAGGTTTTTAATAAGGTTTCCTGCGGGCACCGGTGGCCCAGTTGTCTAAGGCGCCTCGCTGTGCAGAGTTGCGTCCCTTGGGCACGCCAGAAACCTATGATCGTGGGTTTGAATCCCGGTTCGCCCCGATTATGTTTCCAGGTTTGTCAGCACCATACCCGTGCTCGTGGGTTTCACCGACGTGGTAAACGTCCGAGACCTGCATAACTTCGGGCTTTCCTCCCACATTAAGCTGACACGCCGTGATATAACTGGAATACTGTTAAAAGCGGCGTCAAACCCCCCTAACTCACTCAAGTGGTTAAAGCGTTCGCTCGTCACGCCAAAGACCCGGGTTCGATGTGTGAATGTGTGAAGCCCATTTCTGGTGCCCCCGCCGTGATACAATATTTCATTTGATATGTCATTATTTTTTGTTTTCGAGAAATCTAATGGGGAAATACTATGCACAGTGCATGCGAATCTACATGTTTACTAATTTCGCTTCCTCACGTATTAACCCCATAACATATATTTCTAGGCGCATGTATATTCGAGTGCCCGGGTTCGGAAGCAACGCGTATTCGTGCCGAATATGTGTGCGACGGTTCTGATCATTGCAGTGATGGGAGTGACGAGCTGAACTGCGGTAGGTACACAATACCCTCATTCTATGCTTGAGGTAAGAGTCTTCATAAAGCGGGTTGTCGGGCTCGGTGACATGGTGGTGCCCCGACGGCGTAAGACGTTGCCTATGAAGTCAACCTTGATTTTGCGTTGATGTCAACCTAAAACGGGTGCAATTGAGATAACAACATTCACTCCAGTCCCATTGGCATTATAAATAAGCACAACCAGTCTTTATAAAGCGGGTTGTCGGGCTCGGTGACATGGTGGTGCCCCGACGGCGTAAGACGTTGCCTATGAAGTCAACCTTGATTTTGCGTTGATGTCAACCTAAAACGGGTGCAATTGAGATAACAACATTCACTCCAGTCCCATTGGCATTATAAATAAGCACAACCAGTCTTTATAAAGCGGGTTGTCGGGCTCGGTGACATGGTGGTGCCCCGACGGCGTAAGACGTTGCCTATGAAGTCAACCTTGATTTTGCGTTGATGTCAACCTAAAACGGGTGCAATTGAGATAACAACATTCACTCCAGTCCCATTGGCATTATAAATAAGCACAACCAGTCTTTATAAAGCGGGTTGTCGGGCTCGGTGACATGGTGGTGCCCCGACGGCGTAAGACGTTGCCTATGAAGTCAACCTTGATTTTGCGTTGATGTCAACCTAAAACGGGTGCAATTGAGATAACAACATTCACTCCAGTCCCATTGGCATTATAAATAAGCACAACCAGTCTTTATAAAGCGGGTTGTCGGGCTCGGTGACATGGTGGTGCCCCGACGGCGTAAGACGTTGCCTATGAAGTCAACCTTGATTTTGCGTTGATGTCAACCTAAAACGGGTGCAATTGAGATAACAACATTCACTCCAGTCCCATTGGCATTATAAATAAGCACAACCAGTCTTTATAAAGCGGGTTGTCGGGCTCGGTGACATGGTGGTGCCCCGACGGCGTAAGACGTTGCCTATGAAGTCAACCTTGATTTTGCGTTGATGTCAACCTAAAACGGGTGCAATTGAGATAACAACATTCACTCCAGTCCCATTGGCATTATAAATAAGCACAACCAGTCTTTATAAAGCGGGTTGTCGGGCTCGGTGACATGGTGGTGCCCCGACGGCGTAAGACGTTGCCTATGAAGTCAACCTTGATTTTGCGTTGATGTCAACCTAAAACTGATGCAATTGAGATAACAACATTCACTCCAGTCCCATTGGCTTTACAAATAAGCACAACCAACACCATGTCATCGTTCTCTGTCAGTACGTTTCTCAGTTCCTACAGCAGTATACCAGGATCTCTGCTATAATTGATTGGTTCTAAAAACAGAATTTTGGAGACTTTGGTAATTGCATTTGAGTTTCAATTTCGCTTTTCTGGTTTGTATGAAAACATTCAAATTAATTCATTCATTCATCACACATGTGTGGCGGATAACGTCATCAGATAATATTAAGGTGACTGAAATATATCCCACGACATGTTCATGGTCACTGGTTGGTTGAAAGACAAGCACAAAAGATCCTTATATCCCCCCTCATGATCAACTGCAGCTTCCTACCAATGATGATCGGCTGCAAATACCGGGACTACATCCTCTTCATCTGCTCGTAAAGTAATCTGCAATTAAAAGTCATCAACCAGTAACATGACCAATAACCTGGTATCTTAAACGAGTCACTTTAATACATCACAGATCTCTTGTTTCCTTGGAACACGGATGCTAATTGCGTATTCTGTCTCTTTGCCAGGTTCAAGTACAGAAACTCCAACTGCATCTAGTACATCTACAGCAACTGCGACTCCATCAACTGCATCTAGTACATCTACAGCAACTGCGACTCCATCAACTGCATCTAGTACATCTACAGCAACTGCGACTCCATCAACTGCATCTAGTACATCTACAGCAACTGCGACTCCATCAACTGCATCTAGTACATCTACAGCAACTGCGACTCCATCAACTGCATCTAGTACATCTACAGCAACTGCGACTCCATCAACTGCATCTAGTACATCTACAGCAACTGCGACTCCATCGACTGCATCTAGTACATCTACAGCAACTGCGACTCCATCAACTGCATCTAGTTCAGTGGACCAACTCTCTGGTAATAACATAACACCGACACTTGCTTTAGAGTTGGTTTTAGTGATTTGTGACATAATAATAACCTTAGTGTCATAATCCGTGACAAGGTTTTTGATTCACAAAACGTGTAAAAGTATGTAATAAGAAAGGAAATAAACTCCAAATAACTCAAAACACAGAGAGTACATCCACAATATCTACACTACTTGTCGGATAACAGTTTCAGGTGACTGGTTGGATGATCAGGGGTCGGGCAACGTCGACACAGATTCATCCAAGTCATCGAACCTGATCACCGGATCCAGTAAGTCGGTCGGTCGCTCCCTCACTCCCTCCCTCCCTCCCTCACTCACTCACTCCCTCCCTCCCTCCCTCCCTCACTCCTGTATCCCATGGCGTATAGTACAGTTAAAAGGTAATACAGCGCTTATCCTAATTCAGTCCCAAAATATAAAGTCAATCATAAGGGTTGTGTCATCTGTGGCAAGGTATTTACTTTACTCAACGAACAGAAGTCTGTTAGACATGACACTGCAAATACCAGGACTACATCCTCCTTATCTACACGTAAAGAAGTCTATATTGTATATTCTAGTAACATGGCAAATATTCTTTGTATCTTGAGCGAGTCACTGCAATACATGATAGATCTCTTGTTTTCTTAGAGAGGGTGTGTTAATTGTGTATTCTTTCTGTGACAGCTGCAAGCACAGTCACAGAAAAAAACACTTTTTTTGCACGTCAGAAACAAATATTTAAAGAGCAGACTAATCAATATCCATTTTACATCGGTGACATGTTTGTATTTCCCACATAATGGTCTCTTACTCATGAATTTAAGTGCATTTCTCTCATGAACAAGACATAACATAGATAGTCTTCGCCCACACAACAATGGGTGAGTAAGTCGATGTCAAGCCGCAATATATCAGCCGGGGACATCAGATAAGCTTCACCCAATAATTAAGATCACTGTTAATGTATGTACAAATCCAAGAAGTGTGAACTTACTTCGTTTCAGTGATTGTAGAGGGAAAGTGTAATCAGACGGATGGGACGTATATCCATGACAAAACAACGGTAGCAGTCCATTGTGATTTCAGAAGTAACCCTTTTGCAAACCTATCTGTCTCTTGCTTGAGAAAAGGAACTGAGATGTCAAAGTCTGACCGAATTTCCTATGAAACTGGACGTTACTCTGGAATTTTCCATGTCCTGTTCCTCTTTACTCCTGTCTTGCGCCGTGATAGAGGTAAGAAACAGTATGATGTTGAATTGAAGGGCCTGTGCATCTACATTATATATATCTTTGAAATCTTTATATTTATTTATTCAAATAACTCTCGTCTCCCACAATTGCATAGTTGCTCTTGTGGCATAAAGTATTCACTCAATCCTCCACCTGCATTCTTTTGCTATTGGGTGTCGTGTCATTATTGTTTAGTTTGTTTGTTGTTTAACACTGCTATATGAGGACAGTACATAATCGAGTGTGGACTGACAATCCAGTGATCTTGATCCACACAATTGGGATAAGATCACATGCAATCAACAAAGTCAGCGAACCTGACACCGATCCACGTAGTCGCCTCTATACGAGAAGCACAGGAATCCACAAGGATGTATTGTTTTGTGTCAAATTAATTTTATGATAACTATGGTGTACTACGACACGAGGCGACTATGCTTGTCGTAAGAGGCGACTAACGGAATCAGGTGGTCAGGCTCGCTGACTTGGTTGATGCATGTCATCGATCCCAATTGCGTGTATCGATGCTCATGATGTCAATCACTAGACTGTCGGGTCCAGACTCGATTATTCACTGACGGCCGTCTTTCAGCTGAAATATTGCTGACTGCAGCATTAAACAACAAATAAACAAACAAACAACACTACGACACAACAACTTTTGCATCGACAAATAAACAGCATTGTTTGCCTTTTTCAGGCAATTACTCCTGCAAGGCAACGGCAGGGCAGTCTTCTAAGGCCATAGCTGTATCTCTCCTGGTGTATAAAGTCCCGACTGTGACGCTGTCACCGTCTACTTTGTCCCTGCAGGAAGGTGATCAGAGAAACTTTACCTGCCAGGTTAACAACGCACCTGCTGTGAAGACGGTCCCGGGGAGTCTGGTCTGGTGCCAGGCAGATCAAGTTATCACAGGTTAGTGTTTCATATGTGCATATGTTTTGCGTTTTGTGACAATTCATGACCTACATTGTGCCCATATGCACTTTGCACGAGACAATGATCATAATGCACACACATATATATGCTTTTATCATATAATGGGTTGGTTTCTCGGCAGGATAAAGCCAACGGATAAAAACGATATCCGTTGGGGTCATATGCGGATGGAGATGCAAATTTCAAAGGTCAAGTAGGGACTACTTTCACTGTTTATAAACAAACATGGCGTCGTCCTCGTCATTCGGCGATCGAGTCAGAATTAACATTCGGGGGAATCTGGATAAACTACAGGGATAATTGCTATCATTATCAAAAGAACAGTCTAATATACCGAAAATCAGCGTCCAACTATGACGTAGCTAAGGCATTTTATAAGTTTTGGCAACGTTGGAGATTTAAATTTTGACACAATTTTGCGAGGGCACGAGGCCTAGCCAAGCGGGATCAGTAGCCATATCTGTGCTTGTAGACCTCTGCGGCTTGAAACATTCTCCACAAATGAAAAAAATAGGATATATGACGAAATGTGTTTGAATTGTTACTTTGTTTCGTTTTGTCGCTGTGTGTACATCTGATTGCACTTCTTACCGTTATGACAGGACAGAACGACTGTCAACAACGTCTGACCGTGGCCGTGACGTCTCATAGACTAGGGTTAAAATAGCTTCCCTTTGACAAAAGGCAGTTACTCTAGCGGACAGACCGATGGATTGCCGAGAAAGGCAATTAAAAACAATTGTTATTTTGCGAATACGTTGCTTCGCCACTGTATAAGAAACAGATTTCAGTTGGAACTATATTGGCTACTGTCACTGTCCGACTGACACATCACTTATGCTGTGACGTAATAACTATTAATGCGCGCATTCCAGGAAAACTCGCAATGTTTCGGTAATGTTTGTGAGAGAGGGAAAGCGATTTTGAAGCACAGAATTAAAGAATGACATTATATGATAAAGAGGTTATCGCCAAGGCTCGCTAAATACAATGTTTATTCCTAATGCAGGATATTTACCACCCCCAAACACACTAGCGTGATAACCTCAAAACACGCGTGTAATGAGTGGCCAAACAATATAATTTGTTTCAGGACATCAAGCATGTCTAGTAAAATAATTGGGCCTCATACCTGAGGACACGTGTTTGGGGGAACAAGATGGCACGTTTTTTTCTCTGAAAGGAGCACCTGCACCACATTTTCACAACCCCAGTGTATAATTAATTATAAGTGCGTTTCACATGGGTCGTCACCCGTGAAGATACGGGATAGAATAGGTCTTGCCGTAAGAGGTGACTATGCTTGTAAGAGGCGACTAACGGGATCGGGTGATCAGGTTCGCTGACTTGCTGACTCGGTTTCGAACCGAAAACAATATTGGGCCTCAAACAAAATCCCAAACCGGCACCCCAAGAGTACATTATAGGTAGGTGAACATTTTTTTATGAATTGACTCCTATAACGAAATTGTGGCGGGGTAACAGATAACATGATTATTTTTCTCTTAGACCAATCGAAGATCGTGAGAGTGAGGGATGGGATGGAGATTCTGATGATGAACTCGTCCGACAGAGCTGGAGTCTACAAGTGCGGTGTCATCAACTGTACAGAAACAGCAACGCTTGTTATCACCAAACCTGAAGGTAATTTCTATTTCAGATGATCACGCTTGTAACAATTGCCTTATATATTGTATATTCATGTGAAACGTTTTATGCACCTTCAGCAAATGTTGTGCTTTGCTTGTGTTGACCATAATTTTATGTTGCTTTTTGGGTCTCCAGCCGGTGTATTATTTTAATGAAACTGCTTTCAGACAAGGTGTGCACAGAAACCAGAGACACCAGAGGAACAGTGTGGCCCCAGACTGTCAGTAATACGACGATGGTGCTGCCGTGTCCTGGGGGATTTCTAGGTGCGTTTGTTGGTGTGCATTGTCTATTGCAATTGTCAGTATCATCAGTGCCAACTTACCATCAGGAATTCAAGATAAGCCCTCTTTGACTCTAAACTATTTGATATGATATATAAAGTCTTTATTCTTATCTAGTTTTCTTTTTTTTACACTTTGGCATACTGTCAACAAGACAATTCCCCAATATTACCCTATGCTTGCAGATAAACATTTGGGAGGTCTTCCTTGATTAGAGGGGCGGTCGGGTAGCCCAGTGGTTAAAGCGTTTGCTCGTCACGCCGGAGACCCGGGTTCGATTCCCGACATGGGTACAATGTGTGAAGCCCATTTCTGGTGTCCCCCGCCGTGATATTGCTGGAATATTGCTAAAAGCGGCGTAAAAACATACTCACTCACTCACTCCTTGATTTGTGTCATCGTACCACCACGTGGGACACAACGAGCTGGTTTTCGTCGTCCACAGTTTCGTAGCTTGAATATTGCTAAGTATATTCTCAGTGCCTGTGTATAAAGCTGTTCGTTATCGTTATCATATATGCACTATGAATAGAACAACTTCATATACAAAGCTATAATATTTTGAAGGTAAAGTTCAACGTGTCTGTGACGTCACTGGTGAATGGAGAGAACCAAACTACATAAACTGCGTGAGAGAAGAAATAGCGCAGATAGAGGAAGAGGTTGGTAAACATTGCGTGGGTGCCAAACAGCGCACGTTTCTGAGTGAGTGAGTGAGTTACGATTTTTAGTCACATCGGCAATATTTCAGCCATATCATGAGTAAATCAAGGTGTACAGTAATAATACATAAATATAGATGATAAAATCTGTCGACAAAGGACAGTAAAAGAGCGTACGACCCGTGAAGATTCCGGGGTAGAATAGGTCTTCAGCAACCCATACTTGCCGTAAAAGGCGACTATGCTGGTCGTAAAAGGCGACTAACGGGATCGGGTGGTCAGGCTCGCTGACTTCGTTGATGCATGTAATCGATCCCAATTGCGTGGATCGATGCTCATGATGTCATTCACTGGATTGTCTGGTCCAGACTCGATTATATTACAGACCGCCGTCATATAGCTGGAATATTGCCGAGTGCGGCGTTAAACAACAAACAAAACGTTTCTGACAATACACATGTGTCCACTTCTTAATTTGATGAACAGTAATAAACAAACCATGGACCGTGACACAGTGCCAAACAGCTTAAGTCTCTGGTATTACATATTTCGTGTCTTTTTCTTTCATACATATGTTGCGTGTTTATCTATTTCATCCTCAGGTGGCTGCAATCACTGAGGGAACTGCGTCCAGTGAGGCTGTCAAGAATGTGCTTGAGAACCTACAGAAGGCCACCCAGAACAACGACTCTTCCGCAGGAGATCTGGACAAATCCATTGACATCGTTGACAACATCGTTGCCGCAGTGAGCAGTCCTGTTCCCCCTGTTGCGGTGGATACAGCGTCAGTTAAGGTGGGTTAACTCTCTTATTATCACAATCTCATTACAATCAGATCTATGTACGGGTAAGTTCTGGCTGCCGCCAAACAAAGATCTGGGGACATACCATTACGTGTCACGTCAGAACGACCTTTCGCGAACTTTGATCGACCACTGAAATGACATACAAGAAGTCGACATCAGCAAATTAGAAAGCAGCTTTCTCGAGCTTTACCGCACTCGTTTCAACCTGGCGACTTCCATTTCAGACTACGCTTGAAAAATATGTTGACACAGTTCTCGATTAAAATTTTGAAAGCTGAACAAACGAACATTCCGGAATGTCTAATATATGGCTGAGATTGTATAGCAGTGCTTCCCGCGTACTGTGCAACGCCTCCTCCGTTCAAATGTTTATCCCTCGGAAGCGAGAGGTATTTCTAATTTTGACGGATTCAGTCGTATGGGCCGTAACTGTCATTCGGAATACCAAGATTAGAAAACACATTCCGACTGTCTTTTTCGGGATCTGGTAAGCGACGCTTTGATTGGTCGGATGAAAGGTCGTTTTGACATGACCCGTAATGGGATGTCCTCAGATCTTTGTTTGGCGATAGCGAGAACTAGGATCTGATTTTAATGAGATTGTTATCATATAGACCTAGAAGCAAGTATTTAATGTTATACATGTGTTGGTCTTTTGTGTTTCGATAAGTCATAAGGGGGTTGGTGGATTGTGAGGATCTGTAATTTTTGTATTGAGACCAGATATTTTGTCTCCGTATATTTTTCTACTGTGAGTTATCATCAAAGGAATCGAGATGTTTAAAATACTACCTGCTCTAATTATATCATATATAAATTATAAAGGGATGATAACTTCCTTTGTTTGTTGTTTAACGCCGCACTCAGCACAATTCCAGCTATATGACGGCGGTCTGTAAATAATCCAGTCTGGACCAGACAATCCAGTGATTGATATCATGAGCATCGATCCACGCAATTGAGATACGATGATATGCATCAACCAAGTCAGCGAGCCTGACCACCCGTTACCGTTAGTCGCCTCTTACCACGAGCATAGTTGCCATTTACGGCAAGCATGGGTTGCTGAAGACCTTCTACCCCGGATCTTCAATGAGGAAGACGAGGGTTTACGACTTACATTTGGGGTCCGGGTGACACTAGACAACTCATCTTTCAAACTTAACTTTTTAGGTGTAAAGCTTAAAAGCACTACACAGCATCCTACTTCTCACTTCTGTACAGCGTATTGGAAAGATTGAAAGCTCGGAACTCTATTTCGCGTCTCACTTCCCACTTTCGTAAAGATATTTTAGGAAATAGAAACCTTAGAAGCTTGAATTTGCTGTTAACTTTCTATTTCATAGTTTGGGAAGCTAATGTTACGGTGGCCATTTTGTCGTTAATTAACTACCTTTGTCAGAAATGAGATTTTACGACATACATTCTCGTTTACGACACTGGATGGTTGATATGCTTTGATATATACGCACTTGTATAGTGTAAATATGTACACGTAATTCACACATGGCGAGCAATAACAGGCTGGGTTCCTGTCCAATATAAACGAGTAGACGGACGAGGGCCAATTTCTCGCCGGTGCAATGATTGGACAATAGTTACGATATCTAAATATTTAGATAATTACTGGAAAGTGAACACGGGCTGGAATATTGCTGAGTGCGGCGTAAAACAACCAACCAACCAACCAATCTTTCTCATTGCAAGAAGACGAGAGTAAACAAGCGAATCAAACGCCTTCGTAATCTCATAACTCCAAACTATGAAATATAAAGTTGACAATTGGCAGAACATTCGAGCCTTTAATGTTTCCATATCCTTAAACATGTTTACGGAAGTGGGAAATGAGACGCGATGTGGAGCTGTCGAACTTTCCATCTTTCCAAAACGGTATACGGAAGTAAGAAGCTGGGAGCGGTGTTAAACTTTCAATCTTCCCTCTTTCAAAACAGACTTCGGAAGTGAGAAATAGGAAGCGGTGTGGCCTTTTCAGGCTTTCCATCTTTCAAAACTAATGTTGGAAAGATGTATTGTCAGCTGTTACCCGGACCGCATACACTGTATTCATTTATCTGTAGTCACAGGTTACCACTGACGTGATGGGTACTTATATCTGTAGTCACAGGTTACCACTGACGTAATCTATACCTATTTCTATAGTCACAGGTTACCACTGACGTAATGTATACTTATATCTATAGTCACAGTTTACCACTGACGTAATGTATACTTATATCTGTAGTCACAGGTTACCACTGACGTAATGTATACTTATATCTGTAGTCACATGTTACCACTGACGTAATCTATACTTATATCTGTAGTCACAGGTTACCACTGACGTAATCTATATTTATATCTGTAGTCACAGGTTATCACTGACGTAATGTATACTTATATCTGTAGTCACAGGTTACCACTGACGTAATGTATACTTATATCTATAGTCACAGGTTACCACTGACGTAATGTATACTTACATCTGTAGTCACAGGTTACCACTGACGTGATGTATACTTATATCTGTAGTCACTGGTTACCACTGACGTGATGTATACTTATATCTGTAGTCACTGGTTACCACTGACGTAATGTATACTTATATCTGTAGTCACAGGTTACCACTGACGTGATGGGTCCTTATATCTGTAGTCACAGGTTACCACTGACGTGATGTATACTTATATCTGTAGTCACAGGTTACCACTGACGTAATGTATACTTATATCTGTAGTCACTGGTTACCACTGACGTAATGTATACTTATATCTGTAGTCACAGGTTACCACTGACGTAATGTATACTTATATCTGTAGTCACTGGTTACCACTGACGTAATGTATACTTATATCTGTAGTCACAGGTTACCACTGACGTAATGTATACTTATATCTGTAGTCACAGGTTACCACTGACGTAATGTATACTTATATCTGTAGTCACAGGTTACCACTGACGTAATGTATACTTATATCTGTAGTCACAGGTTACCACTGACGTAATGTATACTTATATCTGTAGTCACTGGTTACCACTGACGTAATCTATACTTATATCTGTAGTCACAGGTTACCACTGACGTGATGTATACTTATATCTGTAGTCACAGGTTACCACTGACGTGATGTATACTTATATCTGTAGTCACAGGTTACCACTGACGTAATCTATACTTATATCTGTAGTCACAGGTTACCACTGACGTGATGGGTCCTTATATCTGTAGTCACAGGTTACCACTGACGTGATGTATACTTATATCTGTAGTCACAGGTTACCACTGACGTAATGTATACTTATATCTGTAGTCACTGGTTACCACTGACGTAATGTATACTTATATCTGTAGTCACAGGTTACCACTGACGTAATGTATACTTATATCTGTAGTCACTGGTTACCACTGACGTAATGTATACTTATATCTGTAGTCACAGGTTACCACTGACGTAATGTATACTATATCTGTAGTCACTGGTTACCACTGACGTAATGAATAGCTCTACTAATAGTCACAGGTAACACATGACTTTTTTAATACCTTGAACAATAGTCACAGGTTACCACTGACGTAATGTATACTTATATCTGTAGTCACAGGTTACCACTGACGTAATGTATACTTATATCTATAGTCACAGGTTACCACTGACGTAATGTATACTTATATCTGTAGTCACCGGTTACCACTGACGAAATGTATACTTATATCTGTAGTCACAGGTTACCACTGACGTAATCTTTCTTATATTTGTAGTCACAGGTTACCACTGACGTAATCTATACTTATATCTGTAGTCACAGGTTACCACTGACGTAATCTATACTTATATCTATGGTAACAGGTTACCACTGACGTAATGTATACTTATATCTGTAGTCACGGGTTACCACTGACGTAATGTATACTAATATCTGTAGTCACAGGTTACCACTGACGTAATGTATACTAATATCTGTAGTCACAGGTTACCACTGACGTAATCTATACCTATTTCTATAGTCACAGGTTACCACTGACGTAATGTATACTTATATCTGTAGTCACAGGTTACCACTGACGTAATGTATACTTATATCTATAGTCACAGGTTACCACTGACGTAATCTATACTTATATCTGTAGTCACAGGTTACCACTGACGTGATGTATACTTATATCTGTAGTCACTGGTTGCCACTGACGTGATGTATACTTATATCTGTAGTCACAGGTTACCACTGACGTAATGTATACTAATATCTGTAGTCACAGGTTACCACTGACGTAATGTATACTTATATATAGTCACAGGTTACCACTGACGTAATGTATACTTATATATACATGTAGTCACAGGTTACCGCTGACGTGATGAATACCTGGAACAATACTCACAGGTAACCAATGACTTGATGAATACCTGGAACAATAGTCACAGGTAACCAATGACTTGATGAATACCTGGAACAATACTCACAGGTAACCAATGACTTGATGAATACCTGGAACAATAGTCACAGGTAACCAATGACGTGATGAATACCTGGAACAAATGTCACAGGTTACCAATGACTTGATGAATACCTGGAACAATAGTCACAGGTAACCAATGACTTGATGAATACCTGGAACAATAGTCACAGGTAACCAATGACGTGATGAATACCTGGAACAAATGTCACAGGTTACCAATGACTTGATGAATACCTGGAACAATAGTCACAGGTAACCAATGACTTGATGAATACCTGTATCAATAGTCACAGGTAGCCACTAACTTGATGATTACCTTTATCATTAGTCACTGGTAACCAATGACTTGATTAATACCTGTACCAATACACACAGGTAACCAATAACTTGATGAATTACTGGAATAATAGTCACAGGTAACCAATAACTTGATGAATACCTGTACCAACAGCCACAGATATTCAACGACATTGATGAATACCTGGAACTCATGCTTGTCGTAAAATGCGTCTACGCTTGTCGCAAGAGGCTACTAATGGGATCGGGGGGTCAGGCTCGCTGACTTGGTTGAAGCATGTCATCAAACCCCAATTGCGTGGATCGATGCTCGTGATTTCAATCACTGGATTGTCTGGTCCAGACTCGATTCTTTACAGACCGCCGTCATATAGCTGGAATATTGCTGAGTGCGGCGTTAAACAACAAACAAACACTGGTAACCAATGACGTGATGAATACCTGGAACAATACTCACTGGTAACCACAGACTTGATGAATACCTGGAACAATAGTCACAGGTAACCAATGACTTGATGAATACCTGGAACAATACTCACTGGTAACCAATGATGTGATGAAACAACAAACCAATAGTCAACTCACTTGGCATAAAGTTATTTTCATTTTGCTTCCAGGCCTTTGTTAATGTGATCGACGACATCCTATCTGTTGACACGAGTCAACAAGATTGGCAACAGGTTCAGAAGAAGGCAAGTATAGCTTATACAAGAATTCTGGTTCAGCTTTCGTCGTTCTTGCCTATGGTGGGTTTTTCTTATTATTGGTTTTAATCCCCTCTGGGATGCCGGGTGAGATTAGGTCTCCAGAGGCAATTTATTTGTTTGAATGGTCAGACTCGGTAACTTTGGGGATTGCGTGTCATAGTACCCCGACGGCGTGGATCGTTGATCATTGGATTGTCTGGTCCAGACTCGATTGTTTACAAGCCGCCGTCATACAGATGGAATGTTGTTGGATATGGGGTTCAACAACAAACAAAGAAAACGAAAATCTGTTTTCATGATCAACAATAAACCGTTCAAGTGTATGTTTGTATTAAAGATCATCATCGAGTCATACCTAAGGGTTGGAGGACTTAATGTAACACATGATCAAAACACGTCACAATGTTTTTGTCATTTCGGTCTAATTCACAATGTCCTTGGCATGAAAGTACTATGCGTGTTTTCCAATGCACACATATACATGGAGAATGGACGGACAGATATCGGCTGTGTACTTTTGACAGGAATCATCTCGGCTGTATGTTTATAAACTCTTTTCAAAAGGGCAGATTTGTCGAAAAAGCGCGGCCCTATGAACAGCACGATATCGTTAATTGGATTTGACAATGCATGAAATAAGTGAACCAGACCTGGTAGTGATTATCGATATGTCATTTATCACGTTACGAGATTGGTTGGTTGGTTTGTTGTTAAACGCCGTACGCGGCAATATTCCAGCTATATGACGGCGGTCTGTAAATAATTGAGTCAATCCAGACGATCCAGTGATTGACATCATGAACATCTTTTTAGTTTTGGTTTGGTTTGTTGTTAAACGCCGTACGCGGCAATATTCCAGCTATATGACGGCGGTCTGTAAATAATGGAGTCAATCCAGACAATCCAGTGATTGACATCATGAACATCTTTTGGGTTTTGGTTTTTTAACGCCGCACTCAGCAATATTCAAGCTATATGGCGTCGGTCTGTAAATATTCGAGTCTATCCACGCAATTGGGATATGATGACATGCATCAACAAAGTCAGTGAGCCTGACCACCCGATTCCGTTAGTCGCCTTTTACGGCAAGCATGGGTTGCTGAAGACCTATTCTACTCATGTTACGAGAGAATGTTAAAAAGACAACTCTCTGACCGTGGTTTGTGTGTCAGTTTTATGTTACATATCAATCAGACCGTTGAGCACATGTAGCGGTTACTATTACTCTACTTTTAGATTATAATATTCCTATATGTTCTTGTTGTTTTCAAGAATTCAACAAAAGCGGCTTCATTGGCCAGATTGGTAACCGCCTTCAGTTTAGCTGCTGCTGAATCACAGACAGAAAACGAACCTTTAAAGCTCAATAGTTCAACAATGGGTAAGTACTTGATCAATTCTAATCTGTTGGAAGGTGTATACACATAACACATTAAGGTGAGCTACAGAACGTCGTAGCTCTCGTTTTAGAATACCCGAAAGGTGGAGAAGTTCTCACAAATATATATATGTTTCCGGTTCATGTTCGTAACCCTTTCATGTATTGTACTTGAGAAAACATTTTTCAGTGATAGAAATTGCGAAGATCACAGCGCGCGACATTGTCTTTCCCACTCAGATGATGGACGAAGTGAAGAGTTCTTTAAGGCTTTCAAAGGAAAACCTGAATCACACAGGTAAGACACCTGCGTGAATAGGCAGTGCTGAATACGTTGTGATTTGTCATAATTGATGTTTATCATTTAACTTAAGCATTTATCCATGACATAAGCTTATGACATAAAAACATGTATGTCATACCCCAATGACATAAGTATGCAAATTAGATATGCAAATTAGATAACCGGAAGAGCGAGCGGTTTGATTTGAACTATATATTATAAGTGAAGTTACACCAGAGATATAATCAGATTACACAGAATCGTTGTTGTTACCGTTATTTAAGTTTCAATTATTCTGCAAAAGTCTGTTCAAGTATTTTGTTTAAAATAATCCGAGGAACTTTTTTTCTCAGCGAATTGTTTATTTTGGTTTACATGGCTATGGAAAACATGTATCACTACGCACGATCTATACGTAAGATTTCGACAAGTTGCTGATGTTAATGTTTAATGCAATTATTCCTTAATTTGGAAGCAAAAATGTGAAAATGATAAATAGAATTCATCACTCGTGTTTTTTAATATGGGAAATATCAACCTCGTCCCGTTAATCGGTATTTGCCTCGCCAAAGGCTCGGCAAATACCGATTAACTAAGACTCGGTTGATATTTCCCATATTAAAAAACACTCGTGATGAATCCTCTATTTATTAAGTGCATTGAATGTCTTTGAGGATCCGGGGTAGAATAGGTCTACCTAATGTATTAAACTGTTCATTTTGGCTTGCAGAAAAAATAACGTATGTTGCTGCGTCCTACAAGACAATGGCAGACTTCCTCCCGACTAATACATCCGGGTAATTATGTTTTGTTTGTTTGTTTGTTTGTTTGTTGTTTAACGCCGTACTCAGCAATATTCCAGCTATATGACGGCGGTCTGTAAATAATCTAGTCTTGACAAGACAATCCTGTGATTGATAACATGAGCATCGATCAATGCAATTGGGATAAGATAACATGCATCAACCAAGTCAGCGAGCCAGAACACCCAATCCCGTTATTCACTTTTTACGACAAGCATAGTCGCCTTTTACGGCAAGCATGGGTTGCTTAAGACCTATTCTACCCCGGATCTTCACGGGGCCGGGTAATGAGAATTCATGAGCATGTCTATAGATAAGGGACCGACTTGGGGCTGGGATTTTGTATCGAGATTAGATTTTTTTTTTTTCAACTTCAGCTACAAAACTAGATATTTTTGTATATAATTGTTTTAAAAGAATATCACCTTGTAACAATGTATTTTTTTTGTGGCAGGCAATTTCTTTTTTTCAAACAGACTGCAGCATAATTATTTTTTCTTTAAAAAAAACCCCAACCCATCCGGTGAAAAAATTAACTTGTCCAAGAAATTACTTGAAAAAAATAATTAAGCATGCTTCCGAATGTAGAGAAAATAGAAATTGTCTGCACAAAAAATATTCTTTCGGAAGGAGACAGACACGTGACAGACAGGTAACATACATGTGGCACACGTGACAGGCAGGTTACACACAGGTGAGAGGCAGGTTACACACACGTGACAGGCAGGTTACATACATGTGACAGACGGTTTACATGCATGCGACGCGCGACAGGCAGGTTACACACAGGTAACAGACGGTTTACATACATGCGACACGCGACAGGCAGGTTACACACAGGTGACAGACGGTTTACATACACGCGACACGAGACAGGCAGGTTACACACAGGTGACAGACGGTTTACATACATGCGACACGCGTCAGGCAGGTTACAAACACAGGTGACAGACGGTTTACATACACGCGACACGCGACAGGCTGGTTACATACACGTGACAGACGGTTTACATACATGCGACACGAGACAGGCAGGTTACACACAGGTGACAGACGGTTTACATACACGCGACACGAGACAGGCAGGTTACACACAGGTGACAGACGGTTTACATGCATGCGACGCGCGACAGGCAGGTTACACACAGGTAACAGACGGTTTACATACATGCGACACGCGACAGGCAGGTTACACACAGGTGACAGACGGTTTACATACACGCGACACGAGACAGGCAGGTTACACACAGGTGACAGACGGTTTACATACATGCGACACGCGTCAGGCAGGTTACAAACACAGGTGACAGACGGTTTACATACACGCGACACGCGACAGGCTGGTTACATACACGTGACAGACGGTTTACATACATGCGACACGAGACAGGCAGGTTACACACAGGTGACAGACGGTTTAGATACACGCGACACGAGACAGGCAGGTTACACACAGGTGACAGACGGTTTACATACATGCGACACGCGACAGGCAGGTTACACACAGGTGACAGACGGTTTAGATACATGCGACACGCGACAGGCAGGTTACACACAGGTGACAGACGGTTTACATACACGCGACACGCGACAGGCTGGTTACATACACGTGACAGACGGTTTACATACATGCGACACGCGACAGGCAGGTTACACACAGGTGACAGACGGTTTACATACATGCGACACGCGACAGGCAGGTTACACACAGGTGACAGACGGTTTACATACACGCGACACGAGACAGGCAGGTTACACACAGGTGACAGACGGTTTACATACATGCGACACGCGACAGGCAGGTTACACACAGGTGACAGACGGTTTACATACATGCGACACGCGACAGGCAGGTTACACACAGGTGACAGACGGTTTACATACATGCGACACGCGTCAGGCAGGTTACATACGCGACTTTTGCAATATATCCGAATGGACTCCCTCAAACATTTCCTTTGCCTGTTGTATGGATCGTTAATCTCCTTAAACTTTGCATATAAGTTAGGTTTACCAATTAAAGTGAACACGTTTCATATTTCGCACATTTAGGGGAGACGCGAGCACCAAAGAAGCCAATTCTCAGATCCTTTCACTTGCTGTGAAGATTGGAGGAAAGAAGCTTTCAAACCTGAAGATAAAAATCAACCTTGACTTTCAACATTTACAGGTAATAAAGTGCTATGATTAACACACTGGGCAATTTATAATATCTACGCCATGATAAGGGAGCGACCATTTGATTTTCAGGGAGGGGGCGGGATGTTTTCTAAAAGCTTTGAATTACTTTAAAAATATACATATGTCTCGCCTTGTAGGACAAAATAATAAAACCTTTTCTTTTAGACAGTGTGTATTTAAGTATTGAGAAATCAAATTTAGATTTACAACTTCTTTGTATTGAACTGTCACCTGACCAAGAATGTAAAAGTTTGGATGGCATTGGGGAGAAGTGGCAATCTGGCACCGCAAAACCAGATGCTTAGAACAAGTGGGTCTCGTCACCTTTTTCTGGTTGCTCTTCTAGGTTGGTTGGTTGGCTGGTTGGTTTGTTGTTTAACGCCGCACTCAGCAATATTCCAGCTATATGACGGCGGTCTGTAAATAATCGAGTCTGGATCAGACAATCCAGTGATTAATATCATGAGCATCGATCCACGCAATTGGAATCGATGACATGCATCAGCCAAGCATGGGTTGCTGAAGACCTATTCTACCCCGGATCTTCACGGGTCTGCTCTTCTAGGAGAAGAAACAGTTTTGCTGTCTTGCGGCTGTCCCGCCTATAGGGAATACCAAGGCAGTATGCTGTTGTCATGCTACAGCAGCTGATCAAACCATCAAGCAAGGCGTCATCTTTTCTATCACGGATTCAATGGTCCGAATGATGGAGCCTGTCAAAATGGAATGGAGGGTCTTCTGACCCTCCGACTGACCTCATCAGGGAGTATATTCCAACCTGAAGGATGGATCCTGGCCCTGCTGTCAGGGACAATACGGAATTGCAAAGACGAATGAAGATGGACTACCTACGCAGCACCGATTCCCTCTTCGAGACTAAGCCTTGGCAAATTGTTCCTGGAGACACCCTGGTCCAAGCACTGGCACCAGCTGGACCAGATCATCACAAGACAGCGCCACCTCAATAACGTGCTTATATCACATTTGTGTACCTCTGCTGACCATTCTTTGGTCGGCTTCAGGGTCATTTTCAAGCCAAAGGGAACGAGAGGGAAAGACTTGAATCGGGCAAGAACTAACGCCCGCCGAAACTGTAACTCTTTTACTGGTACCCTGTGTGGATATCTGGTTACAGCCCACTCCTGGAAGCTCACCCCTGTCTCTGACTAAAGAGGCACAGCTCTAATAAAATTCAAACGCTACCCCTACCAGAAGACCCTTCAAGGTCCCGGAACCGATGGAAGCGGATTACAGAAAACAGCAATAACATCCACGAATGACTTTTAGCTGCATATCTGCGAGGGCATTCAATTATCAACTGATGATCGGATCATCCAGGGTGTGTACAACAAACAAGATTCAAATCAAGACGGTGCCCCTGAAACGGGCAAAACAGGGACATGGGCAGATGAAGAGATGGGTTGAGCACTATTCAACTCCACTAAGGAGAAAAATAATCTCAGACATTTAGCGCCTGTCAGTAATGAACTTCTGTGTCAGTGTTGGGAAGAGCGTGTAGTACCCCAGGACATCAGAGGCAGCACAATCGTCACCTTGTACAAGTACAAGGATGATAGAAACGTTTGTAACAACTACATCTGGATCTCTTTGCTGAGCATCGCAGGAAACACTTCCTCTTGTGTGGTCCTGAACAGACTACAGAACCTTGCTGATAGGGTGTATCCCGAATCAGTGTTGATTCAGGGAAGAATGATCTACGACCAACATGATATTCTCAATCACCAGTTGCAGGAAAAGTGCAGAGAGAAGAAGAAGCCAATCTATGATGTATTCATCAAACACACAAAAGCGGGAATCTTTGTCATGCTGAAGCACGCTTTGAACCCCCGATTGTCAGAATCTATCCCCACACAAGATCGAATGGGCAGCTGTTCAATGTGGCTCGCCTGAAGGCAATAGCTAAAGCTCATTAAGCCATCTGCTTTTCACAGTTGACTCGGCCCTTTCAACCCACTCAGAGAAGACAAGACACACATGATGGACTATGGCATCGAGCAGCCTACAGAGACCTCCATCAACGTGTACAAGCTGGAGGAGATAAACCCGTTCTCCTTCCTTGGCTCGACCATGACAGACAATCTGTCTTTGGATGCTGAGATCAACAGACCACCAGAGCCAGATTGACGAAGAAAATGTGGGAGAACAGCAAGCTGACAACCCATACCAAGCTTGTTATCTACAGAGTTGGTTGGTTTGTTTGTTGTTTTACGCCGCACTTAGCAATATTCCAGCTATATGACGGCGGTCTGTAAATAATCGAGCCTGGAACAGACAATCCAGTCATTGATATCATGAGCATCGATCCGCCCAATTGGGATCGATGGCCTGCATCAACCAAGTCAGCGAGCCTGACCACCCAATCCCGTTAATCGCCTCTTACGACAAGCATAGTCGCCTTTTCCGGCACGCATGGGTTGCTGAAGACATAGTCTGCCCCGGGTCTCACAGCCTGCATCTTCAGCACATTGCGATACTGCAGTGATTCTTAGACCCACTCCTCTAGCCCAGAAAAGAAACTCAACGCCTTCCACGTGCACAGCCTGAGGCACATTCTCGGCATTAACTGGACTGACCGAGCCACAAACACTGAAGTTCTTTCCCATGCGACGACCCTAAGTCTCTTCTCCCCGCTCCAACAGCACCGACTCCACCGGCTCGGCCACGTCTGTTGGATGGAGAACGCGACTACACCGAAGACCCTTTAGCTCACATCCAGCAAAAGGCCACATTAAAAAAAAGCCTGCATGCGGGACTTCACATCACTGGACGTTGTAAAGTAGAAGGAGCTCGCGGAAGAAAAAGACGCACAATGTTCTGAAGATTGAAAACCTGTTTACGTTGAAAGGCTTATTGAGCTCATAAACGTTTAGAATAAACATGTCCAACCAAAATCCCGCCCCTCCCCCTGAAAATCAAATGGTCGCTCCCTTAGGGGATTGAAAGGTATGACCGACCCTTAAGACAATATCCTTCAGAACATGACTTCCAACAATTCCCCATGCCTTTGCTTCGGCACATTATGCATGATGACCATTCTCTCTATGATATACTATAGTAAAGTGTTAAAAGCTGTCTTGAACGCTAATTCTACAAGAAATACTATTTTCAGGTAAACTATTCAGAACCAGAATGTGTGTACTGGAATTTCGATAAAAGGTAAATGTTTTCAGTGTTCTTCATCACCACGTTCATAGTAGGGTGTGATCAGAAGCTGTCTCCTAATGCTAAGAGTTTCTATCTGTCGTTTGTTTTGATGCATATTTTCCCATCACCGGTCTCCCAATGTTCGTTGGTTCGTTGTTTAACGTCGCACTCAGTAATAGTCCAGCTGTATGACGGCAGTCTGTAAATAATCGAGTCTTGACTAGACAATCCAGTGACTGACATCATGAGCATCGATCCACGCAACTGTGATAAGATGACATGCATCAACATCAACCAAGTAAGCGAGCCTGACCACCCGATCCCGTTAGTCGCCTTTTACGGCAAGCATGGGTTGCTGAAGACCTATTCTTCCCCGGATCTTCACGGGTCTCTCCCAGTGTAAAGGTCACCATACTTATTCATTTGTTTGAGTGAGACCACTAGCAAACTGTTGGAATAAGTTTCCGACTTCATCATGACTGTTGCTTGCCATTTGTGTTCTCATGACACGCATTCTGTTGTCATATTAACGACAGTTACAAAGCAGCAATTTCCTTTCTTTTACCTTAAACCACGATGCATGTGTAACAAAATAACCCCAGCATCCTTTCTGTATGCATATGCCGTGAAAACGTGCTTTTGTATTTATGTTACAAGGAATATGTCAAATCAGGAACATGTATATTCATGGACATTTTCCGGGAAATATGTAATGTCTGATTCACGCAATTTTTAGACGTATTCCCTGAAACCACTTATTCGTGGTTGTTAGAAGAATTGTTCTCTCTAGTATCAACATAATAATGTTAATGAGTTTATTGATAAGAATTTTTTTTTGACAAATGATAACATAAATAAATAGCATACATCAGTACCAGCTAGGCCCGTGAAGATCCGGGAAACAATATAGGTCTTCAGCAACCCATGCTCGTCGTAAAAGACGACTATGATTGTCCTAAGAGGCGACTAACGGGATCAGATGGTCAGGCTCGTTGAGTTGGTTGATGCATGTCATAGGTCCCAATTGCGTGGATCGATGATCATGTCAACCACTGGATTGTCTGGTCCAGACTCGATAATTTACAGACCGCCGTCATAAAGCTGGAATATTGTTGAGTGCGGCGTAAAACAACCATCCAACCAGTACCAGCTACTTCAATAGCAATAACGTCACTTTTGCAGTAAGACACAAGTTAGCAAAAAAGAGCCTAATAATGTCTCTCTTGTATAGTTTATATTGACACATTTGAGACTTGAGTGGCACCGACAATTACACTGTAGCTTAGCCTTGAAACATCTACATATCACGATGTTTCAGTCGATGGCTGACAGACGGCTGCACGGGCAAAGACGTGAACAGTTCCTACACAAGCTGTGAATGCAACCATCTTACCAACTTCGCTATTCTTATGAGCCCGGGACGACACGTGGTAATTTGCTCACATAATTAATTGCATCCTCCCTAGGTACGTTTACTTAATGGGAATTTGAAACGTCAAAGAAAAATCGGCCTCGCTTATCTGCAGCAGCAGATTCCATTTGGAGGTTAAGGGGTTAATATTGATAAAAACAACAACATATGAACGGATGACTGAAAATGAGTGATGACATTCGACGTTCCCGAAAACGCTGTATCGCCCTGCTCTATTGGTAGCACCTTCAATTCATACATATGTTTATGAAAAAAAAATATGGAAGTTTTTGTTTGTTGTCTAATGCGACATTAGGAATTCCCAGGCCATACAACGACTGCCTGTCATCCGGGGCTAAATTGATCCCTTGAACCAAACATGTTAGGTCCCCAAAATTCCTTAATGGTAAGTATGACCACGTCTTTCAAAGTATATTTATTTCTAAAACGGTTTTATTCGTAGCATATGTGTTGTTTTGGTGTTTGGCTAAATTTGTCAGCCATCGCCAACAGCTGAAGGGATGATGTAAATCCTGCTGGGGCCCATTTAGGTAGCAAAAGTACTGTTAGTCCCCATGGCCCCTAGTATGGTGATCTACCTTCAGTTGCTGGCGATCTATAGCCTTTTTATATTTTATTGTTTCATATAGTAGTATCTTTTTATGGTTGTATGCTAGTTTTAAGTATTAGTCTGTGATATTCTAGTTATTTTACTGTCTATCGATGACAGGTTTTTATTTAGTTTAAATATATGTATTAACACTGTAAAACTTCTCGTCAAGATATGGCTGAAATATTGCCGATGTGACGTTAAACTTTAACTACTCAATCGCTCCTTAATGGTAAACAATCTGCAGATATAACGTATGTAACGAGAATGATGGCGGACGCTACTTTAACCCCAGGAACGATTGACATCATCTGTGTGCCAGTAATACATCCGTTAAGAACGGATGCTTCCGGTAGGACAGGAAATCTGACCTACACACTTAAAATTACAAAGAGAGTATAAGGTCAGATACCGATGAATATTCCAATTTCCAGTCTGCAAAACACTTACATCACCTGAAGATCATCTCCATAGTGGGCTGTTCCCTGTCTATCATAGGCTGTGTGGTGACAGTGCTGGCACACGCGTGGATGTGGAGGTAGGTCGCAGTCTGTTCCCTTTACTACAAACCAGTCTTTGGCCATATATTACCAGACGCACTTCATCTGATCTGACCGGTGAAGATCCGGAGTAGTATAGGTCTTCAGCAACCCATGCTTGCCGTAAAAGGGTGACTATGCTTGTCGTAAGAAGAGACTAACGGGATCGGGTGGTCAGGCTCGCTGACTTGGTTGATGCATGTCATCGTATCCTAATTGTGTGACCCGTGAAGATCCGGGGTAGAATAGGTCTTCAAAAACCCATGCTTGTCGTAAAAGGCGACTATGCTTCTCGTAAGAGATGACTAACGGGATCGGGTGGTCAGCCTCGCTGACTAGGTTGAAGCATGCGTGGATCGATGCTCATGATATGAATGACCGGATTGTCTGGTCCAGACTCGATTATTTACAGACCGCCGTCATATAGCTGGAATATTGCTGAGTGCAGCGAAACACAACAAACGAACCAACCCAACTGTGTGGATCGATGCTCATGATATAGGATCAGAATAGGTCTTCAGCAACCGCGTAAGAGGCGATCAACGAGATCGGGTGGTCAGGTTCGCCGATTTGGTTGATGCATGTCATCGTTTCCCAATTGCGTGGATCGATGTCCATGATGTTAATCACTGGATTGTCTGATCCAGACTCGATTATGTACAGACCGCCGTCAAATAGCTTGAATATTGCTGAGTGCGGTGTTAAACGACAAACAAACAAAAACAAAAAAAATCATCTGATCTTGTTATATGTGCATGTATGAGTTGAAAGAATGGTTCAAATGGAACTAACCTCGTCTGTATTCCAGATTAGAATAATTTCCTTGCAACAGATGCGTATAGAACGAGGCAGATAAATGGATCAGTGCGGACCGCCGCACTCAGCAAAATTCAGCTTCATACCGCATGACGTATATGATCTATAAATAGTTGAACCTGAATCAGACAAACCAGTGATTGGGTATACGAACAGACATCCACGCCGAGCCAGACCACTCATCCATGAAGTCGCCTCGTACGACAAGCAGACTTATTCTAACTCGCAAGGAATACTATGAATAAGGTTTACAAACAAGGGTGATCGTTAATACACAATTTTGTACACAGCCATGTCCGTTCCTCCAAGACCATCATCCTGATGAACCTTTGCGTGGCGTTGACCCTCGCCTACAGCGCCTTCCTGGCTGGCGTGGAGCGGACGGAGAACAAGGTGATGAGGCTAGATACAGTTCGGTAATAAACTAAAATAAGTCAGAGCCGGAATCACCACTCTTTATGTTGGATCTCAATCATAAAATATTCATTATTAGATGGTCAGCATGTATTGTTCTATTACAATCACAAAACTAACCTCTTGGGATGGTCCCATTTCGGAAGGTCACCCTAAAGGATCGGAGAACTGAATAGGAGTACGACTACGTACAGATAACTACTCTAATAAATGCAGTAATTTCAGTTAATCCCAATCATAAAATAGTCATTATTAGATGGCCTACATGTATTGTTCTATTTTAGTCACAAAATTCACCTCTTATTATTTATTATGCTTAGCTGCATGTTTTATCACAAAGCACGAAAAGGAAAAAGGACCAAATAAGTAAGTAACAAGAGGTTGTTTACAAAATGTAGTAACTGCGCTGGACTGATATTTGTGATAAATAAATCATTCTTCCTCCTTGTTTCCAGGCCGTGTGTACAGCCGTGGCGGCTATGTTGCATTACTTCTTCCTGGCAGTCTTCTCCCTCATGCTGGCCCAGGGGGTCGACATCGCCGTTCAGGTTGCCGTGGTTTTCAGGAAGAGTTCAAGGTTGGGGCTCGTGCTCCCTCTAGCCTGGGGTAACCTTGCCTTCAAACATAGATTGACATTAACGCAAGCGATCCACTTTACACTCTCAATCAATCTAACAGTTCCTGTTATTTTTTTTAATGGTAGAATTAGGTACTTGAAAATAGTTTGTTTGTTGGTTGGTTGGTTCTTTAACGCCACACTCAGCAATATTCCAGCTATATGACGGCGGTCTGTCAATAATCGAGTCTGGACCAGACAATCCAGTGATTGATATCATGAACATCGATCCACGCAATTGGGATCGATGACATGTATCAACCAAGTCAGCGAGCCTGACCACCCGATTCCGTTAGTCGCCTTTAACGACAAGCATAGTCACCTTTTACGGCAAGCATGGGTTGATGAAGATCTATTCTACCCCGGAATATTCACGGGTCACTTGAAACTAGGATGTTTACATAACCGTACTCGTTTGCAGCTATTACACCGACATTTGTTTTCAGACTAGTAGTACTGATTTTTTTAAAAGGTATGTTATCATGTAATATTTCTACAACATTTATATAACAAGCATTATTCATGCTTGCCGTAAAAGGCGACTATGCTTGTCGTAAGAGGCGACTAACAGGATCGGGTGGTCAGGCTCGCTGACTTGGTTGAAGCAATTGCGTGGATCGATGCTCATGATATCTATCACTGGATTGTCTGGTCCAGACTCGATTATTTACAGACCGCCGTCACATTAAACAACAACAAAAGTGACAAACGCCCAAGCCTGCTTCACTTCGGGCATTTATCCCACACCCAGGTGATACACTGTGATGTAAATATGAAATACTGTTCAAAGTGGCGTTTACCCAATGGACAATATGGTTGGGACCAGTCAACATTTGAGGCTTGCATCCAGCATATAAAAATAACGAAAAAATAAAAAGAACGATTTATTACAAATAGATTAAAGGAATGTGTTTTAATCTGTCATCTGAACAGGTGTGCCAGCAGTTATAGTGGGTATTTCCCTGGGGGTCACAAGGCTGGAGGGATACGGAAATGACCAGTTGTAAGTTGGACTAGCATATACCATTATTCTTGAATAACATCCTCTAAGAAAACTGGAAGCTGAAAACTTAATGTCGGTTTATTGAAAACAAGAGGAGTCGACTTGTGTGGTGTTTATGTATAGCAGGATTGAGATGTAGCCATAAGACCAATGCCCTTTCATTGTGAACAAGGGGCGGTCTGGTAGCCTAGTGGATAAAGCGTTCGCTCGTCACGCCGAAGACCCGGGTCGAATCCCGACATGGGTTCAATGTGTGAAGCCAACTTTTTGGTGTCCCCCGCCGTGATATTGCTGGAATGCTGCTAAAAGCGGCGTAAAACCATACTCACTCACTCATCGTGAACACATGCCCATGTCGCATTCCAATTGTGTCGATGAATCAGACAAAGCGAATAAATTATGGTTGACCTGTTACAACTACATTATCGAAATGACTAAATATCGTTTTCGGTATGTGGACCAGCAAAGATGGTAATAAGATGCGTTACAAACACGTATCAAGTCAAGTTTTACCTGATCTTGTACGGCATACAAAGTAATATAAGGCATTTCATCGAATATCATTTTGGTCACTGGTTCCTTATATTTGGACATGTCTACCAAAAATAATTCAAAGCCTTACTTAGGCCTCGAATGAAACAACACATGCTCTTTGAAATAGAAAGAGCATTCTCTATTGTACTTCAAATGCTGGAGTCTTCCATTGCAAAGCTGACGTCATACATCTTGTCATACAGTTTTGTCAGAGCGTCCGCCCGGAGAGCGGAAGGTCCGGGGTTCGATCCCCGGCCGCGTCATACCAAAAGATGTTTAAAGATGGTACTTGTTGTTACCCTGTCTAGCGCTCGGCATTAAGGGGCTAAAACAAGGACTGGTCGGCTCGGAGTCAGTAAACTGTGTCTGAGTGGGGTATTCATGTTAAACTGCGGCATGGTATCTCAGTGAGCTAGCGCCATCAATCGGCATCAGTCCGGACTAGTACAAGCAGCCACACACACATACCCACGTGCATTCACGTCGCTATATAAGTGCAATAATCTTGGATGTGACGTTAAACCCAATTTCACCTCACCTGAACATACAGTTTTGTCATTCTGAATCTAATGCATAGATCTAAATATGCAAAATATGAGGCAGTTTCATCTCTCCTGTTTCTAGTACAAGTCAGGAAATCAGTGGAACAAAATTGGCTATTTCACGATTATTGAATGAAACATACCAAAAGCTGAAGTTAAACTTCTTGGCCAAATTCCCTTGGTTTGATTTGCCTATCTGAGCAGACATTCCGATTCATATACAGTAAACTACGTTTATAACGAACACGCTTATAACGAACTGACGGATATAACGAACTAAAATTAGTTGCCCCTTTGAGTTCGTTATAACCGTAGTTTACTGTACATAAAGCCACAATCAGTGCACACCAGGAGGGTGCCTACTTGCCTCAATGTCCTGTGGCAAAAGTTTCACAATGATATTGTCTGTGACGTCCAGCTTTCCAAATACAGTAAACTACGGTTATAACGAACTCAAAGGGACTACTAATTTCAGTTCGTTATAACCGTAGTTCGTTATATGCATATTTACAGCAGAATTACAGCAAATAGTCGGGACCAAAAAAGTAAGTTCGTTATATCTGTCAGTTCGTTATAAGCGTGTTCGTTATAACCGTAGTTTACTGTTTTGTTTTCTCAGTAAAGATCAGATGGCATTTGTTTTCTATGGAGACAAAATGTCCTTAACCTTTGGCGATATTGATGTAACTATGTCTATGGTCTCCACTTTAAGTGACAAATGCCCCGTTTGTGTCTAGGATTTGGTGTACATGTTACTGTGCAACTATCCAGTGCATGAATGGACAGTGACGTGTATGAGTTTTAAAATCTTATTCACAGAAGTCAAAATGACAAAATTTATTTAAAAGGATCTATTCACCGAGTAATATTACAAAGATCTCTTCACTGAATTGTTTTTAAACACTGATGCATCAACATGAAATCGTTGTTGCACAGTTTTGGTTAACGTAATATACACTCTTCAAAAAAAGAAACGCACAGGTTGGTTTGTTTATTTGTTGTTTAACGCCACACTCAGCAATACTCAAGCTGTATGACGGCGGTCTGTAAGTAATCGAGTCTGGACCAGACAATCCAGTGATTGATATCATGAGCATCGATCCACGCAATTGGAATCGATGACATGCATCAACCAAGTCAGCGAGCATGACCACCCGATTCCGTTAGTCGCCTCTAACGACAAGCATAGTCGCCTTTCACGGTAAGCATGGGTTGCTGAAGACGTATTCTACCCCGTATCTTCACAGGTAGTATGTAGTTCACTGAGCCGGACTACACAAAAAATCCGGTATATAAATTGGATATATGTTATTGGAAAGTGTTGGTGTCCTGATATTCGACAAACGGTGCGTCAAAACGCAGCCATTGTCGATTTGCAATGTCTTAAATGGCATTGATTGTGTTCATGGTGGAAAACAGTAAAGCAAAATGCACGTGCAAGTTATGGCATTCGTAACCCGTGATAGTGGCTATTAAAAGGCAAGCGTAAGCCAATAATTTGTCATTCAATTGTCAACATTTCGAAGCTCGAAAATGCCGGGATTCAGCGCTGCCGATCGGAACATCGCCATAGGACGTATCCTAAGAGGGGAATCGCAGACTTCTGTTCCACGCCACTTCAACATCCACCACAGCATCATTTGCAGCCTTTGTGACCGATACACACAGTTCAATTCCACTGCAGACCGTCCGAGAACCGGCCGACAAAGAGTTCCCACCCCTGCACATGATTGCTACATTCGACTGTTCCACCTACGTCATCGCAATGCCACAGCTAGGACTGCAGGACGCATCCCTGGTTTGAGGATGATATCGGACCAGACTGTCAGGAACTATCTTCACGCGGCTGGAATCCGAACCTGAAGACCAGTTATCGTCCCTGTTTTGCAACTGAAACCGACAGCGACGCTTGCGTTGGTGCCATACCTTACAGCCTTGGCATTTGAGAAACTGGAGACGAGTGTGGTTTAGCGATGAATCACGATTTTTCACCACGAGCTCCGACTTGGTTGTGGTTCAGGGAAATTTGACAGCACATCGCTACATGAATCAAATTCTTCAACCTCACCTCCTTCCAATCATTGACCGCCAGAGGGAGCTATTTCAACAGGACAACGCTCTACCGCACACAGCTCGTGTCACTGTAGACTACCTTCATAATGCCAACATCAACGACTTGCCCTGGCCGTCGAGATCTCCAGATCTCAACCCAATCGAACACCTCTGAGATGAACTCGATCGACGTGTACGTCAACGTCAGAACACGCCGCAGACACTCCCACAACTGGCCAACGCGTTACAAGCAGAATGGCGCAGAAATCCAAAGGAAAGAATTCGTACATTTATCCAGTTAGTGCCGAGGAAATGCAGATCCGTGATTGCTGCCCAGGGTGATCACACGAGATACTGTGACTATCGAGCTCCAAAATTTCATATTTGTATCTATGATATTAAATTAAATATTTCGACTTTATTAGGTACAATAAGTTTACTGAAAACTACCTGTGCGTTTCTTTTTTTTGGAGAGTGTACATTAAGGGCATCAGTATTTTAAATACATAATTCTAGTAATTGCATTTCCGTTATTAATGCCACTTTGGATTATATGTATTTTCAAAGGCATGCCATACACTGTGTTTTTATTATTTGACATTACAGCTGCTGGTTGACTGTAACTGATGGCGTCCTGTATGCTTTTGTGGGACCAGCTCTATTCGTCATTCTTGTAAGACAAACACCAATCAGAATTAGCTACCTTTCACCTTGTTGTGCCATTAATATAGACGTAGGATATTCATGCATGCCGTCATCTTGGTGTTGTATGGTAATGGACCGCCTCGGTGGTGTAGTTGAGAGAGCGTCTGCTCTGAGACGTCGCTTTTTGTGTGAACCCCAATTCACCTCTCCTAATAACATTAATATGTGCAGACGTATCACTGAAGACACGACAACTTTAAGTCATATCCAAATGACCAGAACACCAAATGAAGGTATATGCCTTACCAGATGCTTTAAATTCAATGAATCTGTTCTTGGGTCATCACCTTGTACGGAACTGTAAATATTCCCAATTTCGCATCACAACATATGGCTGTTAGGGCAAAATAAACATTCACAATAAATTGGTAACCCGAAAAAAGGCGACTATGCTTGTCGTACGTGGCGACTAACGGGATCGGATGGTCAGGATCGCTGACTTGGTTGATGCATGTCATCGACCCCAATTTCGTGAATCGATGCTCATGATATCAATCACTGGATTGTCTTGTCCAGACTCGATTACTTACAGACCGCCGTTATATAGCTGGAATATTGCTGAGTGCGGCGGATTTCACAAGCGATTTGTTAGTCGAACAAATATGTAAGATGTAATAATTTGAGATAATTTTCAAATCATAGGATGTCACATGCCATGAATAGGACATTAGATATCACATCATGATGACTACATCTCATATCGCCTTCTTCACAGTCGGACACTCGACTCTGCTTTTAGCAGATATTTCAATTGTATACGGAAAAGTTTTGTTGTTTTTTATCTCCATTTCTAATTAATTCCCTCAGAAACAAAGATGGCATTATGTAATAATTAGCACTTCTTGTGTAATTTGTACAAAGCAAATGCTTCTGGTATTTTTGCTAGGCACATGTAACTCTCATCGTTACTTTACACAGGCCAATGTCGTGATCATCGCGATCATCTTTCGAGTGATGTTTTCAACAAGGATGATGATCAATAAAAGAAAGAAGGAAAAGATAGCGTAAGTAATGTAATTTTATTTGTATTTCATTCAATAGGTATATATAGTGATGTGTTGCTCGTAACAGCATGCATACAACCCTACCCCTAACACAACCAAGACTGTGAAAATGACTTGAGTGTATATGTGTTTGTAAACTCTATTTTCGACTTTGAAGGTGAGTGTTTTCTGCTACACAGGTGCCACTCGTCTCAAACACATGCAAAGTCATTTGTTAACCTCGCACTCAGCAATATTCCAGCTATATGACGGCGGTCTGTCAATAATCGAGTCTGGACCAGACAATCCAGTGATTAATATCATGAGCATCGATCCACGCAATTTGGATAGATGATATGCATCAACCAAGTCAGCAAGCCTGGCCACCCGATCCCGTTAGTCGCCTTTTACGACAAGCATAGTCGCCTTTTACGGCAGGCATGGGTTGCTGAAGACCTATTCTACCCGGAATCTTCACGGGTCAATTATACAAGTCAAAATAGGGCATTGTATCTGACATCATTTATGTCACTGATGCGTCAAAATTGTAAATATCCTCCATATGTGTGTGTCAAAAAACATTTTGGAAGCTTTACTGAGACCATGATTGTTGTAGCCTTGATAAAAAAAAATGTTTGAGCAAGAGTCGTATGACACTCTTTAAAATCTTCGCAGAAAGAGCATGCTCGATTGTACCTCAAAAGTTGTGAACTGTAGAAAACAAAGGCTTGAGCTGCAGGAATATTGCTCGACATAAAGAAAAAGTAGGGTATTTGAAAGTTATAGTCATCCTTCTTGTCACACTGGGTAGTATTTTGTCACTCTGAATCTTAATGCCTGACATCTTAATGGACCCGTGAAGATTCAGGGGTAGAATAGGTCTTCAGCAACCCATGCTTGTCGTAAAAGGCGACTAACGGAATCGGGTGGTCAGGCTCGCTGACTTGGTTGATGCATGTCATCGATCCCAATTGCGTGGATCGATGTTCATGATATCAATCACTGGATTGTCTGGTCCAGACTCGATTATTTACAGACCGCCGTCATATAGCTGTAATATTGCTGAGTGTGGCGTTAAACAACAAACCAACCAACCAACCAACTGAATCTTAATGCGTGAAAAATATGAAACAGACGAGGTGATCTCCTTTTCTAGTTCCGATGGGTACATCCGTGGAAGAGAGTTGGTATTTTGGCCATTATTGGTTTTGGTTTGTTTTTTTGTTTAACGCCGCACTCAGCAATATTACAGCTATATGACGGCGGTCGGTCAATAATCGAGTCTGAACCAGACAATCCAGTGATTGATATCATTAGCATCGATCCACGCAATTGGGATCGATGATATGCATCAACCAAGTCAGCGAGCCTGACTACCCGATCCCGTTAGTCGCCTCTCGATCTTACGACAAGCATAGTCGCAAGTATGGGTTGCTGAAGACCTATTCTACCCCGGATCTTCACGGGTCGGCCATTATTAAACGATATCAGCTCACAGATATACCTGAAGTGGAAGTTAAACTTCTTGGCCAAATTCCCTTCAACTTGGCTTGAGTGATATGCCTAAAGAAACAAACAAGCAAGAAGGGGAGCTTAATTGGTGCCCACGGAGATGCCTACTTTTTTGCCAAAATGTCAAACCCACAAATTTTCCATCGATGTTAAAATATCAATGAGGAAGTGCAACATTTCACATTTTGTTTACTCAGTAAACTTCAGATGACATTTGCTTTCATTTTTGACAAATTGTTTGTTTGTTTGTTGTTTAACGCCGCACTCAGCATTATTCAAGCTATATGACGGCGGTCTGTAAATAATCGACTCTGGACCAGTCCATCCAGTGATTTACATCAATCACATCGATCCACGCAATTGGGATACGATGACATGCATCAACCAAGTCAGCGAACCTGATCACCCGATCCCGTTAGTCGCCTCTAACGGGGTTGCTGAAGACCTATTCTCTACTTGGATCACGGATCAAATGGCCGAAGACTCGGGTTCGATTCCCGACATGGGTTATATGGCAAGCATGGTTGCTGAAGACCAATTCTACCCGGTCTTTTGAATAACTGACGAGGGTTGTTATTGTCAACAACAGAGAATATTGTCAGTGATAGATTCATAGAAAATTGCAGTTCCAAATTATTCCGATGACACTAGTTGCTGTCAAAACGGGTGAACATTGCTGGACCTTGTGCATTTAAGTATGACATGTTAATATTTCCTACGTATAATAAGTATTAAATAGGTATTCTCATTATGATTGAACTGTCACCACTGTGTACACAGACCCTATTTTGTTTCATCTTTAGAAAATATGGCAACGGGAGCTCACATGACCATCTTGAACATGTGGCACATTTGGTGAAGTCTCGATCTTTGTCTTTCAGGATTACGGTTCGGAGCCTGTGTGTTCTGATGCCAGTTCTTGGAGTTACGTGGGTGTTTGGTGTTCTTGCTATCAACGAGGAAACCGTCGTCTTTCAGTATCTCTTTGGTATCTTCAATTCGTTGCAGGTGATGTTTTTTTAAATCGTTATGTGTAATTAACAAGTAAATAAAAACAGGTTCGACTCGGAGATACAAATTCGCTTTTTTAGTTTTTGAAATTTACTGATAGACCGGTGGACATATTTTGTGTTTCAGGGTTTCCTGATTTTCATAATGCACTGTGGTCTGAACAGAGAGGTGAGTGGATTACTATAACCATATCTTATTATTTAGATTTTTATAGACATTCAGGACATTATTCTGATTAGTCAATTTATTGTTCAGATTATAAGCACATGCAAGGACAGTGTCTGTATGGAGTGCGCATGTGACCAATTCAAGTCAAGTATTTGGACTTGGAATATAGTATTATATTAGAGGATGAACGTATCATTTAATTTGGTTTTCAGATTATCGATGGCATAAGGAAGACCGTTGCCCGATATGAATCCCTGATAACGATGTCGCTGCCCTATTCAAGAAGCACAGACCAAGTGAGCATGCATATCTATGTGGGAATATCTACGCGATCCACAGCATAATCCAATTGAGTTTTTCAAAAGAATACTTCAAACACGTCAAACGTTGACACGTATTAACTTAATACCATGCAACGGCCCATTAAGAACTCAGGGTTCCTTTCCAGAAAGTTATCGCAGCGCTAAGGTTATCAATAACTCCCATATACCTAGACGTACAAGTGTCGCGGGACTACGATCGCCTTGTGGAACGGGGTCCTGCACCACAAAGGTTACAATCACGTCACAATACCCTATGACGTAATTTGTGAAATTTTGTTGCAAGATCCACCGGCGAAACAATGTCATGTGACGTCAGCCTAGCAACAGGGTTGCTGGGTTCATCCAGTGTCCATAAGCTCATTCCATTGATCTATCATCTCTAAACACAATGCCGTTGAATAAGCCCGGGGATATTGAGAGTTTTCAATATTTGTTCGTGAAACTTGTTCCCACAGTACATTAACTCGCGCTTTGGTATTACACAATGTTTAATACATTTGATAAGAGGTGTATATTTACTTGTAAACATGTCTTGTTGTTTTTTTCAGTCTGAAGGAAGGAGAGTTAAGATGGACAAGACAAGCACAGGTGAGGTAATCGTGTGCTTGTGTTTGTAATGTTTGTTTGATGTTTAACGCCACCCTAGCAATATTCCAATTCTATCTGACGGCAGTCCGTAAATACTCGACTCTGAACCTGGAGATCTAGTGATTGACATCATGAGCATAAATTCTCGCAATTGGGAAACGATTACATGTAATCAAGTCAACGAGCCTGACCACCCGATCTAGTTAGTCGCCTCTTATGACAAATATAGCTTGCTGGGGACGTATACTCTTACCCCAAATCCCCATGAGTCGAAACACTGTTCAAACCGGGGTTAAACCGAGTTCACTCAATTCCACCTGTCGGAGGGCTGGGATATGCAAACACATAGTCCAGCCAAGAATAAGCATTGAATAATGATATTGATACAATCACTCCAGGTCAGTTCGGGGCAAGAATTGCAAAGACAATTTGTCTGGGACGAAGAGGGATAAATCCTTAATTATCAGTCGGGTTTTGTGTTTTCCAGACATTCCAACTGGCTGCAACAGTGACGACTTGGTATCGCTGACCATGGAGGAGATGTCGACGTTGCGCAATGTTGAAGCTTCACAGAAATCTGTTTCCAAGGACGACGCAAATCCCAGTAGTTTGATTAAAGAAGGTACTCATCACTGAATGTTATTGTTTTGTTTGTTTGTTTGTTTGTTGTTTAACGCACTCAGCATTATTCCAGCTATATAACGGCGGTCTGTAACTAATCGAGTCTGGACCAGACAATCCAGTGATTGATAGCATGAGCATCGATCAACGCAATTAGGATACGATGACATGAATTCAACCAAGTCAGCGAGCCTAACCAACCCATGCCGTTAGTCGCCTCTTGCGACAAGTTGCATGTGGCCTATATTCCTACTCAGAATCCCCCCAGTCGAAATACTGTTCAAACCGGGATTAAACCACGTTCTCTCAATTCCACCGGAAAGATGGCCACCAATATAGGGGACCTATAGTCTTACCCGGTATACCCACGGGTTGAAATACTGTTCGAACTTGGGTCAAAACTATGATCACTCAATTCCACTAGATGGATGGTCAGGATATGAGACATAACTTTCGTTCCGGAATAATCATTGAGTAATAATATGGATATTAAAACAATGAAATATTTTTTTCTAGTTCGAAACAAGATAAGTATTTAATATAATCAATCTGGGCTTGTGTTTTCCAGATATTCCAACTGGCTGCAACAGTGACGACTTGGTATCGCCGACCATGGTGGAGATGTCGACGTTGCGCAATGTTGAAGCTTCACAGAAATCTGTTTCCAAGGACGACGCAAATCCCAGTGCCATGATAAAAGAAGGTACCTGTCAGGCAATGTTAGAATTTAGAATATATACCTTCAAAAAAGAAAGAAACGCATAGGTTGTAACAATATTTTTAAAAGTAAATAATGCGGATGGATTTGGTTTGGTTTGTTGTTTAACGCCGCCCTCAGCAATATTCCAGCTATATGACGGCGGTCTGTAAATAATCGAGTCTGGACCAGACAATCCAGTGATCGACATCATGAGTATCGAGTGCGGCGTTAAACAAGCAACAAGATTGACAACATAAGCATCGATCAACGCAAAAGGGAAACGTTGACAACCAAGTCACCGAGCCTAAACACGCAATCCCGTTAGTTGCCTCTTACAACAAGCATGTGTTGCTGGGGATCCATATTCTAACTAGGAATCCCAACGGAGATAAGATGCGGTAGAACACGGGTTGATGATAGTTACATTGACTGTGAAAGGAAGTACGTGACTCATAGAGGACTATATTTAAGAAGAATCTCCACTTGAAATGACATGTTCCAAATTTGAATTATTTGTGGAATAAGCTTACACTACGATGTTTGCTTCCTTTATTTCTAGGTTAATTCACAAAGGTCTGGGTAGGAAACGGTCGAATGTCATCTCTACAGGAGCTATCAACAACGTGTATATATCCTCTAATGGATAATTTAGAATTTATTTTCAGAACTTCACTTGTAATGGAACGATATATTCCATGCGCATGTCATATTTTTATTTATTTTTATTTACATGTTTTGGTTATGTCACATGTGACAAGATATATTGAAGCAAGTTTGTTTCTAAATCTATGTTTGAATTTATTTATGCATCCTTGTTTACATGACACCAGCTATTTTAACATATATTTAAATTCTTTTCGTATACTTACTATTTTGAAAAGAATTTAATTTCTTTGTTTTCTTATTTTGACTGTAGAAAAATTGGACCTGAATTGTAGTATCTTTGCTCTTCATTGATTTGTATGGTATCAGTTACCTGTAAAGTTTGTAAAGGGGGTGGTTGTGCAGAGTTTGCGTCCATTGGGCACGCCAGAAACCTATGATTGTGGGTTCGAATCCCGGTTCGCCCCGATTATGTTTCTAGGTTTGTCAGCACCATACCCGTGCTCGTGGGTTTCATCGAAGTGGTAAACGTCTAAGACCTGTATCACTTCGGGCTTTCCTTCCACATTAAGCTGACACGCTGTGACATAACTGGAATACTGTTAAAAGCGGCGTTAAACCCAACTCACTCACTCACTGTAAAGACATGCTATCATACTTTCTAGAACTGTTGACTAATTTGTTCTTATAAACGTTCTACGTGTGTATATGTGTTGTTTTTTCATCATAGTGTTGAGTTTTGTTTATATTCATAGCTTATTTTCCCAAACAATATCTACATCAAAATATCCAAATGACTTGTATTTCCATGGAAGTAGGGAATTCTTTTTTATCAGAAAATAATCTCGTATTTTGACCAAGTAGCCGTTTTATATGTGAACCTTTTTTATAACAATATTGATTGTTCCATCAATGGAAAAATACCTTTTTTCACAGTAAAAGTTTATGAACCCAAAGTAGTGCGAGTTGTTTTTAACATTATACATATCTAACCAAAATAATAAAAAGTGTTAGGGGTTGGGAATAAATGCTCATATGCATAAGGCTTGAAGTAATTTGCCTTATTTAAATTTGTCTTGTATGATATTTGAAAATGACTTTTAAGTATTAATTATCTTCATTAAAGTTTTCCGTATTTTGTTTATTGCTTTTTGTCTTATAGTTTAATGCTTCCTTAGGTTCTAGTTCCAGCAGCACTATTTGGTTATAATTCTAATCCCATTTGATCTTAAGAGCCTTCTTTATTTTTATGTATTCGGCGTATTGCTTCATTTACAGTTTGAATGGTGTTTTATATGATTTAACTGATGCTTCCATATTTCTATTAATTCTATTTTTTCGCATTTTTATTGGTTTTCCCTGAAATGTGTTGTAATAATGTACCTACTATATCTGTGTGAATGGTTTTGGTTTGGTTTGTTGTTTTATGCCGCACTCAACAATATTCCATCTATATGACGGCGTTCTGTAAACAATCGAGTCTGGACCAGACAATCCAGTGATTGGCATCATGAGCATCGATCCACGCAATTGGGATCGATGACATGCTTCAACCAAGTCAGCGGGCCTGACCACCCGATCCCGTTAGTCGCCTCTCACATTAAAATCAGATCTTACTTCTTGCTATCGCTAAACAAAGATCTGAGGACATTCCATTACGGGTCACGTCAGAACGACCTTTCATCCAACCAATCAGATCGTCACTTATCAGATCATGAAAGTGACAGTCGGAATGTGTTTTCTAATCATTTTACATCGAAAACGTTAACACAGGGTATTCCGAACGACAGTTACGGCCCGTACGACTGATTCCGTCAAAATAATCGCCAATCTCTGGCTTCCATGGGAGAAACGTTTGAAAGAAAGAGGCGTTGCACAGTACGTGCATAGGAAACACTGCCATACAATATCAACATATGTTAGACATTCCGGAATGTTCGTTTGTTCAGCTTTCAAAATTTTAATCGAGAACTGGGTCAACATATTTTTCAAGCGTAGTCTGAAATGGAAGTCGCCAGGTTGAAACGAGTGCCGTAAAGTTCGCGAAAGCTGCTTTCTAATTGGCTGATGTCGACTTCTTGTTTGTAATTTCAGTGGTCGGTCAAAGTTCGCGAAAGGTCATTCTTACTTGACCCGTAATGGGATGTGTTCAGATCTTTGTTCAGCGATAGCGAGAACTAAGATCTGATTTTAATGAGATTGATTCGCCTTTTACGGCTAGTATAGGTTGCTGAAGACCTTTTCTACCCCGGATCTTCACGGGTCCTATGTGAATGTAATATTGTTCAATAACTACTTTTATAATAGGATTGCCATGTAGTGGTGAGAGATATTACTTGTTACGCCCAAGAAATGGTTTTCCCCATGAGACATCTGATTATTAATGATTATTATTTTTGTTTGAAATTGTGGAAACGGTCAAGCACTCCTCCGTTTGTCATTTGAAGCATCATTAAGCGTGGGTACAACCTGTTTAGAAATGTCTTCTAATGTCCTTTTCAAAACTGACTAATCAGTCAACGACAACTTAACTTGTTTCTGGGTACATTCTCGAAACAAATTAAAATAGGCCATGTACTGGAATGCCAATCATGAGACATAACTGACCTGTACACAATTTCAAATTATGCTACCAAAGCAGTAATTTTCATCATATATCAACACCTTTCCTCGCCTCGTGCACTGGGTCAATTAATAATATCAATGCAAATAAACACTTTGTAACAACTTTCATGTTCTGTTCTCCATATCTTTGTGAACTGCGGATAGCTCAGTTGTATAAACGGTGGCTTGTACAATCTCATTAAAATCGGGTTTTATATTCCTGTACGATGCCTCTCTGACAACCCTTCTAGAGCAGATCGCATCAGGTGAATCAGTGGAGGCTACTGAATGCCCGTGAAGATCCGGGTAGAATAGATCTTCAGTAACCAATGCTTGCCGTAAATGGCGACTATGCTTGTCGTGAGAGGCGACTAACGGGATCGGGTGGTCAGGCTCGCTGACTTGGTTGATACATGTCAGCGGTCCCAATTGCACGGATCGATGCTCATGATGTCAATCACTGGATTGTCTGGTCCAGACTCGATTATTGACAGACCGCCGTCATACAGCTGGAATATTGCTGAGTGCGGCGTTAAACAACAAACAAACTATATGCTCAAGTTAGTAAGCGAAGCATTCAGAGCAGCATACTATTTGGTGTCTGTATCTTGAAAACTAACATGTTCGGGAAATACCGAATGCAAATAATAACGGCCGTGCAATTATTTTGTACTTACCCTGTCGTTTCTGAGCGCCTTTTTATCTGACAAAAAAGATATATCATCGAATGAATATTTGTATTTTGTGGGGTTCTCTTTGGTTAAAACTCGGAATTTCCGAATTGAGGTGATGAGAAATATAGCCTATTCGTCTCAGAAAGCTGTTTAATAATACATTTCCCCGTATCAGCACAACCTGCGTTAAATGCACTTTTATTTCGCTTGACCCTCCTCTGGTAGGTCAGTGTTATTAATATCAGTGTCAACAGTTCGGTATGGGAGACATGTTTCTGGTTGTCCGGATTATCTCCACAGCCCCAGCTTCCTGACAGCCGGCCTTGCATCAGGGTGCTATGTATACATGTCATGTCCCCGGCCCCCTCACAAACCCCGGATGAGAATATATAACATGTGCTGTACAACGCTATTGAACTGAGGTTGTGTGACTTGGCATTTGGTCTCATCGTTCTACGAGAAAGAATATTTCCAGATCGCCGTGATATGACTTGAGTACAGCTGATTGCAGTGATAAGTCAACATGAAAATCATGATAAATATCGGTCAGATCAAATCACAAATTTTGTCAGGTTATATAAAATGACAATTGATGTTATGGTGAGTGAGTTTTGTATCACGCCGCTTTTAGCAATATTCCAGCAATATCACGGTGGGGGACATCAGAAATGGGCTTCACACATTGTACCCATGTCGGGCTTTCACCACTAGGCTACCCCACCGCCCACAATTTATGTTATATGACATGTTATGTCATGTAATACGTCACATCACTCCATGTTTTGACATGCTATATGGCAGTTTTGTCATGCAATACGTCATCTCGTCAATTTTGTGGCATGTTATATATAGAGGATATTATATTAGTGTTGATGATATACTATGTTTACGACCCGAATGTCGTAAACATAGTATGACATGAACGCAAATAGAATGCTCTATTTGTTACCGAAGAAGATGTCTACATACAGAGACGAAGTTTAGTGGTTACCTATAAGGAGAGCAAGTCGCAACAGTAGCGAAACAACAATTTGTCGAATGACGTCAACAATCTTCAGCTATGAAGTCGTTTTCAGTGTGACGCGTTTCCGACCTCACGTCACAACAAGATTCGAATGACGTCGTATTATGAACCCCGATATGTTTGCCCTCGTTGGTAATAAATCATGTAATAACATGTAATACGTCATATTACTCATTATGTCCTCACAGTGAGATTAACCAATCAGAGATCACAACTACTAACGCCATATGAGCCCGTATATCGTTAGTAAAAATCCAAGATGGTTGTTCCTGGCCTAATATGAGACCGTATACTGTCGGTAACAGCCATTTTGGATTTTCCAACACCCACCTCGCATATATCACATGGAAATTCTGGTACAGAAATTCGTAATTCGACACTGTTTTGTGTTTTGATATAATTAATTGTGATGTGCAAAGACATTACAGTTTTGAAAAATCAGGTTTGTGACTTTACTAATAAAATTATGGAGAAAAGAAAACTCACAGCGGAGGTCACTGTTTTACAAACAGTGAGTGAGTGAGTTTGGTTTTACGCCGCTTTTAGCAATATTCCAGCAATATCACGGCGGGGGACACCAGAAATGGGCTTCACACATTGTACCCATGTCGGGATTCGAACCCGGGTCTTCGGCGTGACGAGCGAACGCTTTAACCAGTAGGCTACCCGACCGCACCGTTTTACAAATAGCACACCTAAGAACATAATATAGGATGACAAGAAACGTGACGTCATTTACGAAGGTTCTTGTGATATGGGCGTGGGTGGCTTCCATCTGTACCATACCCAAGACTCGTTCACGTTGTTCGACTGTAAGTCGTGGCATTTCTTTTGTGTGTTTTTTATCACTGTGGATGTCTGACTTGCCGTTGCAATCGTTTTATACCCTTACCCGCACGTCCATTTGCAGTTGTCCGTGGTGCACGTGTTTTTCACTTTTTCGCGTGTTATCTCGCAAACATGCAGCAGACGATTAACATTTTCTGCATACACTATTGTTGTATTTAGGTTATGTGTTTTAGATAGACTTCATCGAAAAAAAATATATACTTTGTCTGAAATTTATATTTTCAGTTGGTAAAGTTTCTTTTGGACGTCAGTTTATATCCACTGTTAACGTGTGTGTTTAAAGCGTTGTATCGGAAACATAGGTACTGGTCCTGTCATTTGTACTGGTTTCATTTTGCTATGACATGTGCGATAAAGATACCAAATAGTGTAAACGTCTCGTCCAATATTTTTTTTCTTTTAACCTAATATAACACCGTATACGGCAACTAAAGACACCATAACTAATAATATGTTTTGTCAGGCTACATATATACATGTGTCATGCCATGGCATATGAAATTACATGTCATGTTTTGTGATTTTCAATTGTATGTCATGTCACGCCGTGTAAA